GCCCCCGCGCCGGGCGGACCCGGCCAAAGCCCCAGGCCGAGCCAGGGCAGGCGTGGGCAGGGAGCGGCAGCGCGAGGGCGGTCCTCGCCCCCGGCCCCCCGCGGCTGTTTTTCAGGTTTTCAGCTGAAAAACTCAACCTCGTTTCCGAACACCCTGCGCACCTACTAAGTGCCCAGCAGGCCCTGAGCAGGTGCGAAGGGGTCATCCCTGCCCTCCCCGGCTCAGCGTGGGAGAGAGACGGCCCCGCCGTGACTCAGCCCGGGCGTGCAGTGCTGAGTGCCAACATGGGAGTTTAAACAAAGGGCACCTAGGACACAGGCTAGCCCGATCTGAGAGAAAACCAGGGAAGTTTTTTCTTAGTACTGGAAGCCAAGGAGAAAAAGAGTTCAACGGGACGAGTTAAGAACAGGAAAATGGGGGAAATGCAGATAGTGAATATAAAGGTCTGGTTTGAGGACATTTTAGGAAGTCCGTCATTAATTTTTTTTTAATATACCACTTGGTTTAGTGGTATATTTAAAAAAAAAAAAGTAATTATCCGCTTCAGCCCTTGGGTTACTGCCTTGTAGCCCAGGGGTCAGACCACAGGACCCGGCTCCAGATGGGTGAGGTTTTTGAGCCCAGGGCAAATGACTAAAGTCCTCTGGGCCTGGTTTGTAACTTTGTGTCTCCTTTGTAACAGGGCTTCCTGGGGTTGAGAGCAGAAAGTTTGGAAGGGCGCTTGGCACCAGTCCCTGGCCTGGTGTGTCAGCTGTTAGCGCTCCTACACAGCCGGGATGAGGGATGTTCACCAGACAGAAAGTCAATCCTGGCCTTTGTCCAGTGATTTCAGGATCTGTTGTAACCGCACCAGGCACCCTCTGAAAGGACCACTGTCTTCCTGCATTTCTGAATTTCATGGGTTCAGCTCCTAATTATTGACCCAGGCACCATGGAACTAGAGAAGGAAGTCATGATCTCTGTGGCTATAAAGCTCAAGGTCTGGGGCCAGCTGGCGGCATGGTATGGTTAGGACAACTGCATTCCACACGGCTGATTGTGTGGTTCGAATCCCAGACCTGGCAGCTTGAAAAAAATACACCACATGCTTGTGTGTGTGTGTGTCTGCGCCCAAAATCCTGTAAAGAGAGAGTGATGGTGGAGAAGTGATTATGCCATGACCATGCCCCTGAGGGCTGCTTTCTCACTTCCCTCCTTCCTCCCCCTTCCCGGCTAGGGCATGGGCCTGCCGGCAAACTAAAAAAGAATAAATAATAATAAATTGAACAGCTTTAAAAAATTACTTTGTGGGGGCCAGCAGGTAGCTGGACTCCCACATGTCTGACCATGGTTCAAGCCCCGGATCTGATGGCTTGAAAATCACACTGGGCAAGTGTATGCATGCCCAGAATCCCAGGAGAATGGAGGAGAAGGAATTGTGGTATGGCCACCCCCTGGGGGGAGGGAGTGATGTCTCACTGTTTCACTGTCTTTCTCTCTCTGCCAAGCACACATACCCTATGGCGAAAACTTTTACAAATCTTATCAATACTTTGTGTTAAATGTCATAAAAGAGGCGCAGTGTATATGGTGGCAGTCCAAAAGAAGGTCGTACACCATAACAGATAACTCGTTAGTCCTCCGAATTGTAATTAATTTTGTGACCATAGACATAGCTGGCAGAGGGCCAGCTCCATGGCCTACTGGTTAAGGTGCTTGGATCCTACATGACTGAGGGCTTGGTTTGAGCCTCTGACCCAGTGGCTTACAAAAATGTGTGGCGTGCCTTTGAGGCCCTGCCCAAAATCCCTGAAGGAGAGAGAAATTGCAGTGTGGTCACACCCCCTGGGGAGTGCTTTCTCCCCTCTCCTTCTCTCTGTCTCTCTTGGGTGGGCACTCACGTCCTTTGACAGAAAGAAAAGTTATTATCAAATTATTCATTTCAAGGTTAACCATTTTCCAATACCAATGTGTTCTGAATGAGCACAGCCCCTTCTGTGCTCACTCAGCGGCTCCCGGCGAGAGGCTCAGTCCCCTTTCTGGGCTTCAT